TCTTTTGACCAACTCCAATGAAAGCACATGAGCTTTGCCATTGACTTTAATGGTATTGGCAGTCAGCCTTTTGTCTTTTCATTTTGCCTGTAAATCCCCAGATCTTCTGGGACCCTATGCCTAGTAAATATAACATCTTAAATTGTTACCACTAATGAGAAGTAGAGAACACCACAGAATTGAACCACTAATGAGAAGAAGAGAAAGCAAGGTGGAAAAAGGGAAAATTACATTTCTGAAATTAGGAATAAGCATAAATGACCCCTTGGTAGGGTTTGTCAGGGGCCATTTTGGCACCTGCCCTTAATGTTGAATGATGGGAAAGGAAATATAGCTCAAATGAGCTAATTAAATGTATATTATTTCCACTGGTTTACAAAAACCCCAACAGCCTTGGAGCAGCTGCCGGGTCATTGTTTGTGAATTTAAAAATAAAGATTCCTTGGCATTGATTGCAGAGACCATGGCAGCCTCCTTGTCCCTCTGCCTCACATTTATTCTAGGTCTGTGGTTTCCAACCTTTTTAAGTAGGAGATCACCTTTGGCATTTAAAAGCAACCCAAGATCTACTGTGTGCTGCCATCACCCTGCCCCCTCTCCTCCACCAGCAGGTAAATCTTGGGGAGGGAAGGCGGGGGGCAGATCGAGTCACAGGGAGAAAAAATGATTTGGGGGTGCGCCTCCCCAGCAGGTAAGTCCCACCCAGCCAGGGTCCCACTCAATTTACCCCTGCTCCTCCCTCCGCAGCACTGTCCCTCACCATGGGGGCTTTGATCTAGCCCCTGCCCGTTCCCTTCCCCACAGACTAACCTGCTGGGCTGGGCTGGGCTGGGCTGCATGTGTGCATGCACACGGGCACTCAGCCCCGCACCCCAGCCTTGGATTGACTCCAAGAGGCTCCGAGATCTACTGGTGGATCGAGATCCACTGATTGGTGACCACTGTTTTAGGGAGAGAAATGCAGAGGAGGTTGAGAAATGTTGGCTGAAGCAATGTATTGCTCAGGTGTGTCTTGGCTTCACACTTCTTTCCCCTCTGGCTGCTCCAGGAGCCAAGATCTGGTCCAGATGGTGGTGAGGTGTAGATGGGCCCCACACCTTAGAGAGGTGGGGATATCCTGCCACAGAGATTGCTAATGGTGGCAGTCCAGATCATCTGAGGAGGTTTGATTTCCGGTGGCCCTGATACCTGTTTTTCTCTTTCCATCCTACACTCATTAGCATGATGCTTTCTAGCAGCTACCCCCAAACCTGGAGAATTTGAGATGAACATTTCTGTTCCCAGTCTCTTATTCCCTGAGCCTCCAGTCCTCCCAGCCAGGAACAGGAGCTGAATTCATAACCTAGAAGTAAAAGGCTCCTTCCCCCATCTCCTGAGCTTCCCCCATCTCCTGAGCATTTTAGCACCCATGTCTAATTTATAAGTCGGACAGGATCAGCAGTGCCATTCCCTTCTGCCTCTCCCACTCCCAACAGCTGGTTTGTTCCTCTCTGTGACTTAGCCCCTTGTGTTTTTGTCCTTTTCTTCCCTCCACTGCTCCTTGTGGGGCTACAGTGCTTTCTCCCCACACTTCTACCATGTTTGGCACGCTGTCCTTGGCACATGAAAGCGACATTCCAAAGAGCCGGCCCCCAGATTCTTGGCAAAAAGAAAAAATAAGACCACCCCCTGCCAAATTATGCAGCCAAAGAGTGCAAGGCGTGGGAGGGTCTGCCTGCATTTGAAGTCATGCTCCACCTGCTCGCCTTAGAAATAAAATCAAGGATGGAGACAAAACCAAGGATAGGCTGGAGAGAACTCCTGCTATGGTTTTCCAGAGTAAAGGAAGGGCTGAGGTGATTTCTCTGCCTGTAATCAAGCTTGTCCCCTACCTGGGTACTGCTGCAGCAGTTGGCTTTACCCCAAGGAGCTCACACAAATGCTGTGGCAGAGCTAACATGCTGGTATGCATCAGGTGGCTTCAAGCACCAGAGGTTTTTGAAAACATTTCCTGGAGAGGATATTGCTGATTCCCCCTGCTCCCATTTCAAATGGCACCAAGCAATCCTGTCAATGCACTTGGGCTAGGTTTTTTTTGTGTGTGTGTGTTCTTTTTTTCAGGAACAAGATATAAACTCTTCCTCTGTGTGCATTTAAGACAAGTTTGTTTGTTAGGAGGTGTTGGCTCCCTCCTTGGTTGTGGTTCTGGGAAAGCATTTGTGTTTAAAGAGGAAAACAAATGAATAGATTCCCCAGATACTTGCATACACCCTTGCTACGCCTATGCTTATCACCAGCCAAAGGGGAAAAGCTCAGTGGGAGTCCCTTGTTAAAACACTGTCAGCAAATCATTTGGTGCCCACCTTCCCACCTCCACCAGGTTTTTCTACCACTGTTTGTTCTGAGATATGTTCTTTTCTGACCCACTTTGCTTTCAAGAGACAATAAGGAGTGGGAGAATGAAAACTGATGTGAGTGAGCAGTGCTATATATAGGGACCCTGAACTGCAATAGCAGGAGGTGCTGCAGGTAAGAAGGCAGCCAGGAAGGCAGAATGGTGTAGGAGCCTGGGACTGGAATAGTAGGGAGTGCTAGAGCCAGGCTGAGGTGTGCTGGTGGTGCTGTGTGGGTGGCCCAGGGCCAGCATGGTAGTGGGTGCAGGAAGAAATTGTGATATTGAAGAGAAAGACACTCTCTCTCTCTCTCTCTCTCTCTCTAAAAGAGCTCTCAAGCTGGTGCACAAAAATGTTATTTTCTGACATTTACCTCTTTCCCTGCCCTGTCATTGGGAGAGGATAGAGTCAACTTGGAAATCCCCTCTGTCTCATCATTGCGGAGACAGGGTCTTAGAGTGATCTCACCCAATCTGAAACTTCCATGTGGCTCCGTGAGATTAGTATGAGTGAGTGAGAAGTAGTGACTAGGGAGGCAGAGGGAGGAGGGGACGGGAGGGGAGTCATGGGCAGGAAACCAAGAACACATCAGACACTCTATATTTAGATCTTTTCATTCAGCTCGGGACAATATTCCTTGATTTCTTATTGTTCGGGAGAGGGCAGAGGGCAGGAGATCTATTGAAACGCTTTGTCCTGAGAGATGCCACTTTGTCTGGGCACACTAGGGGTGGAGGAGGAGTGTATTAGACCAGTCAAGTGTGTGCGTATGGGTGGTGGGCATCTTGTTAGTCAGAGTCCTGGGTTGGTTAGGTGGGAGACTTTGTAGGTAACCCTGTCCCTGAGCAACCATGACAGGGGGAGCCCACTTTATGGAATCGGGGGGCTTCTCCCTAGCTTGTTCCTGTGGCCATATGGCTGAGGGCAGTCAAAACTTGGGGGCATCCAAACCCCAAGCCTCTGGGCTTGGGCCTGCATGTAGGATGCCTGCCAAAAGACTTTGAAAATATCTGAAGCCCCTGGTGGGGGGGAGGACGTTTGCCAGTTGTAGGGCCACTTATGGATCTAGACTGATTCACAGATTTGGACTTGATTTGGCTTGGAACAAGAAACATTTTTTAAAATAAAAGAAAAAAAGTTCTGGACCTGGCACACTTCTCTGTTTCATCTCTCTGGGCATGGTGTGTTCCAGGTGGATGACTGTGAATTGTTACCTGCTGTGAGAAATGGGTAAGGGGAGTGGGGATTAAATTCAGGGATTCATGGGAGCTACCAGAGTAGAGGTGGCATGGAAAGGAGGAAACCTGTGGGTGCCTATTTATTTTTGGCAGAAACGTTAAGGAAAATATCAATTCAGAAAAAGATTTCAGGGATAGCCCCAAGAGAAGGGGAAGAACCTGAACTGGATCCCTGTGCCTCTGGTGTGGACTCTGAATACAGTCCTGATATACTGCAGTGTAAAGCTTCCTACTTCATTGGCATTCTTCCCTCTTATGTTCTGGAGGTAAAAGGTCTGATTGTATCTTGCTGGTGAGCTCCCTGCCTACTGCAGACCAGGCATTCCACTGCCTTCCACTTTGCCTTATGTGAGTGAGTGGAGAAATCTGATCCTATAGCACTCTTACACCCACTTTGCATAGGTGCAAATAAATGACACCAGTGGTCGATCCAAACATGGGTTTGTAGGACAAATATCTTGGTCCCTCAGTACAGTGCTCTTTTTCTTGCACTTCAGCTCAAAGCCTAGTTTTACTCCTTATTCCGTATGCCACGAGTGAGCACCCCCACCCTTTTCTTGCATCCTGCCCTCCCATAGACCTTGCTAATTCCATACTCCTACTAGCCCTTGGGGGTGTCCATCCAGTTGCGGTTTGTCCAGCAATCAGGGTGAAATGGGCTGTGGAAAGAGAGGGCAAGTGTTTGCCTTGCAACTAACAGCACAACAGGTACTTACTGGGTCTCTTGTTGGCAGCCTCAACTGAGTAGCTGAGGACTAAACAGGCTGTAGAAGCTAACCCACTCCCCTATCCGTGCTGGAGAGCTTTCCTCTAGAGCAGTTTTGAGGCACACAGGCAGGGCACAGGATTTGGGGAGAGCTAGTGTTGCCGATGCCTATGCTCTGCTTCTCCTGCTGGTAAAGGAGGAAAGAGAACTTTTGGGCCCTTGATTTGATCTCAGCAACCCCCTGTTAATCCAAAGGCAGATACCAAGGAATTTAAAGTGTCAAGGTTTTACCATAGGTCTTCTGTAGCTAGGGGAGTGCCTGCAGATTTAAATTAATGTAAATGAGATTAGGCCTGGAGGAGGACTGATTTCTCCCTAACTCACACAGGTGTAAATGAGAATCAAAATCAACAGAGTGACTAATCAGACCCTTGGGACAGAATTTCTATCTCCGCTGTAGCCCCAGTGGCTTCACTGGCATTATGCCAGAGAGGAGCCTGGCATTCAACCTTCAGGGTTATTAGCCATTTCCTTTGGCCCTATATGTATATCCATTGTACCCATAGTGCTCTATTTAGCCCTGTGAAACCAGGACGGGTTAGAGGGGAGAAGGGTGCTTGTTTTTAATTTAATTTTCAACCCTCATCTTTATTTCTCATCATGAGTCATGTTATCATGTTCTCAGGAGCTGAGTAACTGCCAGGGCTATTTTTACTCTTACTCAGCAGGCTTCCTTGTCTTTGCTGCTGCTAGATGGGAGAAGGACAGGAGTCTGGTGAGTTGGGGGAAGGGGAAGGGGAAGGGGAAGGGGAAGGGGAACCAGGGCTGGGGGTGGGATCATTGGAAGAAGCAAAGGTAAATGTTCTCTCCCTCCTCCTCCCCCTCCCCCCTATCACCCGATTTGGAAATAAAAATATTTTTCTCTCCAACAACAACAGGATGAGCTGGGATGTATGTCGTGTATATAGGTAATTATTAGTATTTATTGTATTGGGGGGGGGAGAAATTCCTTTCCAGTGCTATTCATCAGTCTGGAAAAATAAAGAAAGAAAGCAGAACATTTTTTTCCTTCCATCAAAACAGGAAAGAGATGGGGAATGGACTGGGGAGGGGACACGGACACAGACACAGCAAGCTGTTGCCAGGGTGAGGAGAGGGCCCCCTTCTACCCTAATCCTGGGGCTGAGGGGTGCTGGCATGTGCAGGGAGGGCTGCACTCTCCCTGTCTCCTGCGCAAATACACATGCACACAGAGGGAGCAGGTATACATTGGCCCTCACACTTCCCCTTACTCTGAGTTTCTCTCTCATTCATGCACTCAGGGGCAGGCCTCCATCTTCTTGCTCCAGAATGTGTAGAGATGGGGGTGAAGGGTGGATGTGAAAGCGCCTTTGTTATCCCCTCTGTATCAAGATGTGTACATTGCCCCCTGGTTCTCTTGTATGCTTTCCCTTTCTTCACCCTCTCTCTTTCATTTAGTCTCGATCAGAAATACCTTAAGACAAGGGAGAAGGAGGTTAATCAGCCCACAAGGGGCAGAGGAAACCCTGGCTTAAGTGGGTGATAGGCAAAGTGGGGATTCCCTGAGGAAGCCTGGCAGTTCATCACAGGCACAGACTCCCTAAGCAGCATCCCCCTCTCTCTCTGCATGCCGTTGTTCTGTGAGGGTTTTATTTAATACCTGAGACCCCAGACACCCCTTCGTTCTCCTAGTTCCTGGAGTTCAGCACAGAGAAAGATGATGCAAATCCTGAACACCTTTTGCTCTGTCCTTCAGTAATGTATTTATAAATGACAATGCTCCTCACCCTGTCTCTGTCTCCTTCCTTCATTTTCTCTTCCCCTTTCCTCGTTTCTTCCTCCTTTAGACTAAATTCAGCCTTCAGGAAGTGGGTGCAACTCCCATGGAAGTCTCTGGGCCAAATGATGTAAATAGGAGCGTAAATCACATATTTAGGACCTGATTCTGGGCTCACTTGTATTGGGGTAAACCCGAAGCCAACAGAGTTTAATGGGTATAACACTGATGTGAACTTGGACTTGGCCTCTGGCCTAAACTAATCATAAATCATTATTTAAGGGAGGCCAAATTCATTCTTAGCTGTGGTTTGACTGAAGTCATGGGAGTTACACCAGAGGTGAATCTGCCCATGTGCAATAGTAGTATATGACTGCCTGCTGTTTCCGTCCTAGTAACTCTTAACAAACCAAGCTTTGCTAAGGTATCTTGAACCTGAATTAGGCTGTTTGTGCCCTTTGCTCCCCACCCACCATGTTCCAGTTTTGCCAGTGTCCTCACCTGCACCATGCTAATGACTACTACTCTCCTGCAACACCCTCTGCTTTCCCAGGCTGCGCTCCTCAGACAACTCTACCAATGCACCAAAGGCCTGCTCCTGCAGTCTTTGCAGTCCCACTCAGCTCTACTGAGGCACCCCCCATCCTGACTTTCAGGCTCTGCTAATACTGTTGTTATTCAGCGACTGATTCTACCATTCAGACTCAGTATTGCTCTTCTTTCTCAGCTGAATTTTGCTTTCATTCCTAAAAACTGCTTGAAAAAGTTATTAGCACTCCTACTTTGCACATGTGGGCTAGGTACAGACATTCAGAAAGTCCAAGGCGGAATCAATCTAAGGCATGCAGTTTTCTGCAAGCAGTGTATTTTAGATCAGCAGTGACCAGAACACACATTTGCCCTTTGTGGTGGGGGTGCAAATCTTAGACCCGGCTCTGCTATTTTTAAACCAGTCTACACATGGGCGACTGGGGGGGCAGCAGATCACTGACATGGGGGGGGGTCCCCTCCAGCAGCCGATTGCCGAGCCAGCAGCAAAACCAGAAGTGCACTTCTGGTTTTGCGGTTGGCCCATCTCATGGGATGCACATGCACCCACGTACACCCCCTGTGCACTGCCAATGAGTATGTGTGCTGAACTTCTGTTACCAGTTTGTGATCACTTATACCGGTAAAAGTGTAATGTCTGCATCTGGCCTTGGTCTCTGGCTAGCAGAGGGGGTTTTTTTGGCCAGTGTTTAAGCTGAAGGGTGAAAAGCCAAGTGACAGGGAATCTAGATTGTCTGCAGACCTGTTAACCTAGCTCCCAATAATAAGACAATGAATGCCAGGAGGATAATATAATTATTTACTGGTTAAAGGCAGGGAAAAACTTTTCTAATTAATCCTTCATATTAAGATTCCAGGCTAGGAAACCCCAAGGGGCTCCTATCCCTTTAGGTTTGTGGTCTGTGTAATGGGATCCCTTGAGCCATTCTGAGGCTATGACATTGCCTCATCAAGCCATGATGCTGTATGATGATGTTTTGGCTCGCTATCATTATAGCACAACCAAACCTCATCCCTGCTGCCATACAAGAAGCAATGACAATGCAGCAGCAAAACACTGTGAGGTGATGATACAGCAAATGACATTACCACAGACCTGAAGACCCCATTTCAGAGAGGCACTGAAAGAAAGGACACAGAACCAGCCATAAGCATAGCTAGCTTTAGCTTAAGCATAAGCAGCTCTGTGGAGCTGAATGATATTGAGTTCAGTGGAGTGGTACCCATTAGCGTTGAATCTCAATTTGCTCTAATACTTTTAAAAGATTTTTTTCATAAGAGAAAAATCTTTTCCTGTTTCAAAAACAGAAAGAGTAAAGGAAAAATGTCTGAAAGCCTACTCACTCTAAATCCTATTTCCAGCTGGGGTCATAGGTAGATGAGTAGTCAAGTTACAAACATCCTCTTCCTTGTCCACAGGCTTCAATGGGGACTAGCTATTTTTTTTCTGATGCTGAGCTTCTAAAAATTGCCCAGCATCATTCACATCAAAATAAATAACTGTATTTCCATCCAAGCACATACGTAATTGAGCCGGAAATAGAAAAGCCGACTCTAACCTCACCCGGCATTTCCCACTGTCACCCAGCAAAACTGCAGGACCCTCTGCTACAATAGTTCTGAGCCCCACTCACCTTGACTGATGCATCTCATTGCTGACCAGCTAAAATAACCCTCCCGTACACGTACTGCTCCAGTCCTAAGCAAATAAAGACTGCCAGCAGGGTTTATGGGCTAGGTCCCCGGCTGGGGTAATTCAACCTAACTTGGTTGAAGTCAGTGGAGATAGTTTAGCATAGCTGCAGATCTGACTCTATATGGACATGTTGTGATGATGGTTGATGTGGTGTGGCCCAGGGTAAGATGGATCCTGCCCAAAGAATGAAGGGAGCAGAAATGCCAAGTGTCTCTGTGTTTGTGAGGATGTGACTCTGTGTATGTGAGGATGTAACTAAAGGAACTGGAGTGATTAAGGGGAAGCTTCTTCAAGATCTGCGACAGTTTGGGGAGGTGGAAATGCATGGGAGACTAACATCAAATAACTGCTTCCCAACACTTCTGTTCAGCAGTTAGAACAGAATCTGCCATCTCAGTGTTGGGGGTGGAGGAGGTGGTTCTTAAACCAATGTCAAGCCTTTTCCCTCCTCCTCCATGCCTGGGGATGGTTCCCCAGTGGTTGTAACTGCATAGCTCTGCTGACTTAAAACCAGCAGAGAGACTGGCTTCTTGATTCAGAAATAAAGCAGCAAAAGCACCTCCCTTTGTCTAGCCTGCCTATGTGACTGTCAGATTTTCTGTGAGTAGTTGCATTTTTATCTGCTGCAGGGAGCAGAGGAGGTGATTGGGTGGTTATTAGAGAGGTGAGCACTGTAGAAATGAGCCTGGCTCTGTTTTTATGTACCCCAGCGTAGCATGAAGGGGATCCAAATCAGGCCCACTGGGTACAAAAAAGCTAAGCTGGGAGGTGTTGTGATGACCACCGCGTCATACTGCATAAGGGTCATATTGGGCTGGCTGCTGCTTGGAGAGAAGATCCCAGGACACATCAGGAATTGCATTCTAATTCAGTGAACTGAGTTTTAATAATCACAGTTATGTGCATACCATCACTGAAGAAAGCAGAGGCGGTGCCTGTGTGAGCTTTCACTGCACCACCAGGGTCCTGCTTTCTGCTATGTGAAGTGCCTGCACATCCCTTGGGTATTAAAACTGAAATAATCTTTCTGCTGGAGAAATCCCAGCAGAAACAGGCAGTTGGCTCAAAACAGGTGCATCTCTGATTTTGTGTCAGAGAGAAAAGAGCATGGGGCAGTGTGGGCAGGTCTGTGGGTGATGGACTGTGTATAGCATATAGAAACATATGATGGTTGTATGAGAGGAGGTGACTGTGTATGTCACTGACAAAACATGGGTGTCTGTGGTTATATGAGTGCAATGAGTTTGCTTATCATTGTGGAGGTGTGTGATCTTTGCATCAGATTAGGTTAACTGAAGGAAAGAGCAAACTGTTGTGCACATGAAGGCATGTCAGTATCTGGTTATATGCACAGGAGAGTGTATAGGGGTATGTGCGTGTGAGTGGAAAAAACACCCTGTGACTGTGCATGATGTGTATACTGTCAACAGAATGTTGTTATATGCATGAAGAGAACACCTCTGTGGACATGAGAAGGCATGTGCAGGTACATTCTCTGACAAGAGATGACTCCGTCTTGAGCTCACCTGTTAGCTAGTCCTCCTACTTGACACCCTTTTTCTCAGCAAATATCTGCTTGCTTCGTTTCCCCTTGGATGTTTATGACATTGGGGAGATAATTGTGTGGCAAAATACATTTTAGTGCTGAGAGCAACACAAATTCTGTTCTAACAACTCCTGAATGTTTCTTTTTGTGCATGTAAAGAGATCAAAGGTATTACAACCATATCTCCCTCCAGAGAAAGCAGGGTGGAGAAAATCACAAGTTAAGCTTAAAAAAGTGCTCAGGCAGCAGTGAAAGTCTTAGTCATGGGCCAAACATGACTTTGCTGGAATACCTCTCTCCTTATTTCTTGCCCCACCAATCCTGAAGGATTTTTCTCTCTCCATTTCTTATTTGATATTAATTCTGTCTCTACATTCACATTCCCTATGCTTCTTACTGAGGGTCTTTTTCATTTCGGTGAGTTCTCAATTGACTCACTAGAATTTTTTTTCTTGCTCTTTGATACACAGCCAAGAGAGGAGTTGCTAACAGTCTCCACCCCTTCTCTTTCTTCTCCTTTAAAAGAAGGAACAGCTGAAAGGGTGGCACCTTATTCTCTCTCTCTCTTGCAGACTGAAATAAAGACCCACCAGCTCTTTCCCGGCTGCTCACTCTCCTCCCATTTGATTTTACCTTTTTTTTCCTTGTTGCAACAGGGAGCAAGAGACAGCAGCAGCAATCGCTCAGAGCTTGAGACTTATCGAGACTCAACACACACCCAGAGTCCAGCAAAAACATTTGCTCACCTGTCTGCAAAACCAAACCAGAGCTCACATTCAACCAAACTGCCAACCATATTTTGAAAGAAAAGGCACCAAAGACCAGAAGTTTAAACTTAGACAGAAAAAATAATCAACAACAGCATTTCTTTAAAAATAAATATACCAGAAGAAGAAAAAGATTATAGGAAAGAAAGTAAAAATTAAGGAAGAAGACTTTGTTACCTGATTTTGTATAAAACTTTGGGAAAGTTTTCTGTTGGGAGAGGAATTAGTGAATTTGTTTTTGATATTTGGAAAATATGGCAAATCATTTTTACCTTCTTGTTTAAGACTTTTTTTTTTAAAGAAAAAGGAAACTGAGAAGGAAAAAACAAGCTGGTGGACCACCTGAGAAAAAGAAATGCAGAAAGATTTCTTTCACTAAGAGGGGATACAGACTGGATGCATACATTTTTGGGGGTCTGCATTCATTTTTTATTTATGCTCTCCTCCTATACTCCTGGTTTACAAGACAGAAAAAAGGACAGACAACTCATACAGAATTACTTTTTTTAGAGGAAAAAGGGGGTTCTTTTTAACCCTTTCCTCCCCACTTCAAGATTGTGGAAAATAGCTCGGGGTGTGGAAATGAGAGTGTGCAGAACCTTCTATGCATGAGGCAAGGCTGGAACTAGATTGTCAGCGGAGACTGATTTCTTGTCAAGTCTCCCCTTCAATGTGTCTGGAACTCTTGGGGATAGGAGTCGGTATGAATTTCGGGGTGCTATTCGTGTGTCTCTGGTACCTGCCTCTCATCAGCACCGAGGTAAGTAAAGACCCATTTTATTTTACAAGGGAGACGAATCCATATCTAGTAAACTTTAGACCCAGTATTAAGACTACAGAGAGGAGAGAGAGAGAAGGAGAACTCCTTTTAGCTTGTTTTTCTGACAGGTTTCAGTGTGTCTGTGGACACTTGTGCATTTATGATTATTTTAATTCACTTCTCTTGGCAAGCAAACATATAAGGGGGAATTCATATTTTGAATAAGCAACACCCTGGCAGGTAAAGGGTAATGGGAGGAGGTGGAAGAACTCAGTGCTGACTCCAGGGTATATTCCCCATCCCCACCCATTGTGGACAAGTGGGGCAGTTGCAGCTTTTCAGTCTCTCTGGCATTTATGAGTTTTGCTCTTTAAACCAAATGAACCTGAGTCAGATTGTTTTTCTCTGCAGTGCTTCACCCCTGCCCCTTGCCCTTGTAGCTAATGAATTGCCACCTTAAGGCTTATGGCTACCTGCTTGTACCTTCCCGCAGTATCTCCTCCCACCACACCCCAACCAAAAAAATGCAATCCAAGGGAATTTCAGGGTGCATCTGTGCATGCGAGTAGTTGGGAGAAGGATCGCAGATTCTGGGTTTTGCCGGAATTAAAGCAAGGCTGAACCTATCAGGTAGTTTAAGAGGGGACCTCAGCTGCCTGTTGCGTGGAGGGAGGGGTACTGAAGGCTGAATGAAAGAAGCCTGCAGTATGTCTTGGGAGCTGCTGGAGATGGAGTGAATGAAAGAGCTTTGGTAGCTCAAGATTGATGGTTACCCCTATGATGGGAGGTCAGGCTGAATGGAAGCTGGGAGCTCCAGGAGTCCTTGCAGTGCAATGCCGGCCCTGGCTGCAGCAATGTGCTCTCCAGCTGGTCTGGGCCACAAGCTGCAGCAACCTCCTCATATCAGTTCTGAACAAATGCCCAAGAGGGAAGCAGAAGGGAAGATTGCAGGGATTTGCAGAGACTGGAGAGAGATTTTTTTTTTTGGAAGGTGGGGTTCTTAAAGAGCCAAAGTCCTTTCTTTTGCTTTCCTAGTTCTATTTTTATCCAAGAGGTTTGTGTATATAAGCCTGCCCTGCGTACCTGTGGGAGCCAGACTCTGATCTCGCTTGTACCAGTTTTACCCCAGTCTAACTCAGTTGGGACATACCCTTAACTCTATCTCATAGGAGCAGGGAAAGGGGGCCATCTCCATTCATTTTAACAGCACTAGGTTGACTTACATGAGCTGAGGGTCTGGCTTATTGGCTTTGGTGGAGTTAGTTCTGTCCAGTGTCAATGTAAGAGGGAAATGAGACCATGCTCATGTCACTGTGTGGGTGGCTTGTGTGTGTCTGTGCTGTGCGAGCAAGACAGCACCTCTGAAGGGGCAGGACGAAGGGTGGGAGAAAGGCAGCAGGGTGGCTGGAAATGTATAGCTGCAGGGGAGGATCATTATAAAGGGTCAGTAGGAATCAAGCCGGATCTGTGGTGCCCTTCATTCGGGTGAGCTGGCAGCAGCAAAGTATTTCAGTCTGGGAGAGGCAGGGAAAGGAGGAGGAGCAGGGCTGGAGGAGGACTGACATTCTGTTCCCAGCGTTTATTTCACAGAGAACTCAGAACAAGATCCATCAGAGTACAGACATACACAGCATGCTAAAGTACAACCCTGCTAGTATATCAAAAAGGGTAGAGGCAGAGTGGCAAAGGGCGAGAACTAGGAGAGAGTTAATCTAGAGGTGAGCTTGGCAGAGAGGGAAAGCTGGGAGCTGGGCTGCAGCCAACACAGGTTGTTTTGACCAGGAACCTGTGGAAAGAATTCTTCTTTTGTTCTCCGTGCTCTTATGAGTTGTCCAGCAGATTTCACTGCCCTGCCAGTGTGGGGACACCCCCTGTTCCCTCCACTCCAGTGCCTCACCTACCTAGGAGGAACGGCTGGCACACTTCGGGCCCCACCCTTTCAACAGCTGCAATGTCTCTCCTTGGAGCCAATCCAAAATAAAACCAAGGGAAAGGAAGGGCTTCCCCAGGGGAGGATCATCTTGGGAAAAAATATCAGCAATCCATCCAAGATCTCTGCCAGAAGCTTACTATCCACCTTCTCTCCCTTCCTGAATTACTGCAGGATTTCCCACCAGAGCACTGTTTCTTTCCCTTTAATGATGGGAATTCAGTCTTACATGCCTGGTACCTCTTGCACAGAACTGATACAGCTGGAATGGGGGAGAGGTGACAACTATCAGGCTGGGCATTTACATAGCACTTCACATTTTTTAGGAGAATTGCACAAGGCTCAACCAGATAATCCTCATTGCTCCTGGATGAGGTATGGCGAGTGCTGACCTCAGTGTAGCAAGGGAACCAAAGTGCCCAAAGATAAAGGACAAAACCCTGGGCGTTACAAATTCCTACCTGGGCACCTCAGTCAAAGTGGTCAGATGTTTAAAGTCAGGGACAGCTGCCACCAGAGATCTTCATGGGAGCCGTGGCACAGTCTGCTGTTGAAAACAAGTCCGCTTGTTGAAGTGACTGTGTAAAGCTTTAGGCGCAATTCAGTTTGAAAATTTTGGCACGTGATTTACCCAAAAGCTACAGGGAGTCCAAATTAGGAACAGGTGTTTCCTGCATAGACTCTCAGCACCAACTTTCTCTAACAGCACTCGGGAAAAATCCCTTATTCCTTCAAGAAACATTGAGAATCTGCATCTTTGGGCTATGAGAAGCAAACATTGCAGCTCCTCCTCATCTAACCTCACCAAAAAGAAAAATCCATGACGGAGAATCAGTGGGGGGTTTCAGAGGAAGTGGAGACCTAGCTAAAGCTGTCTTGGTTAACACATGGAAAGAGGGGAGTTTGCCTCTGTCACTGTACTAGAGCATCCTGAGAAGGAACAAGATCTTTAGACCATGTCCCTGTCCCGCTGACAGCCCCCATGCAAGCACGCACATTCATGCAGGAATTACAAGCACCCACTAAGCAAGCTTCTCTCTATGCACCTATGCAGGCACCAGGCAGATACTCACCTGTATAAATCAATATATAAATAACACATGTATGCACCACTCATGTAATTACTACTATATTTGATTTCAGAGAGAATGCCAGGTGAGCCACTTTGCAGAAATGAATCAAGGCAGCCAGTCTTGCCCTGAAAAACATATAAACCAAATTCAGGTGCGACACAACCAGGAAGGGCCTTCAGTACAATTGAAAATAGAAACAGAAGGGGCAGGGGAATGGAAAGGAAGAAGCAGTGTACCAGCACTGCAATTGTGCAGTTACGCAGCAAGGCCCATGCACATCTGGATGGATCTACTGAGTCAGGCTAGACTCCCCATGCTCCGTTTAGACACATTCAGGCAAACACGTCACCTGGCTCCTGGAGCATATGCACCCCCACACAGACACACACAAAGCAAACCCCTCATAACCCTGAAACCACCCACACAGACAGCTTTGGAGGGAACCGCTGTCAGAAACGGGGTTAGGTGACCAGTTTGGCCGGTGTGTGCATATGGTGAGTGCATCTGTGGAGACCAAACCCTTCTTCCCATTTCAACCCTGGAGCTATTTTTCCTGCCACCTTCCCCTACCCATATAAGATATGGTCCCTGTGTGGGCCTAAGGGGTGTGGTAAGGAAGCAAAAGGCCCTTCACATCTTCCACAGGAGCTGCACCCTAGCCCTCCTTGCACCTATGTGTACCCAGTGGGAGGATCAGCAGGGTGAATCCTTGGTAGAGAGCAGGGAAATGTGCCTCCCCTAAATATTTCCTCCCTTCTGCATCATCTTTCTCCCTTCTTCATTTCAGCCTCTCTCTGCCTGGGTGCAAGGAAGGGAGTGGAGGCAAAGCAGCACAGCTCTTCTATCTTGTGGCTCTGTTTTTTCTTGGACAGACCACAAAAGGAAGCAGTCGATGCTGTGGGCTGCTCAGCTGTGTTTGTTTGGGCAGGGGAGAGTATTTCCTTTGTGGGTGGCAAATGTCTTCCTCGCCCCCTGAACATGAAACATTGTCTGTGCTAGGGGAGGGAGAGGACAGGAGTCAAGTGCCCACTTCCAACAGTCAGTGCTACACACTGCAAGAGCTGTGTTCACACATACACATGCATGTACGTACACATTTGCCTGTGTGCACGTGCACACACAAACGGACATGCTTGGGTGCTGCTTGGCCAACTGTGCAGTTACAACTCATATATTCCAGCCCCTCTGGGACTGCCTCAGGACACCCCCACCCCGCTCCAGCCATCCCTCCCGACAGAACTGGCCTACCCAAACTCATATTCAGGGCAGTCTCCTTGCTCTTTTCCTTGCCTACAGAGATCCCTGGTACCACCCCAGCTGACTGGTTGACACTACGCACTGTCAGAGCAGGATGCGGGACTCCTCGTTGCCTTTAGACACAGGAACTATTTTATCCACACACCTCCTTCTCTACGCTGTTTGGGGAAGGACCCCAGAAACACAGGGCTGCACCTAAGCTCTAAGAGAGCTGAGCTGTAAAGCAGGATCTTTTGGGGCTCTCTGCCTTTCTAATAATCATGCTTATTGGCAAAACCTGGAACCCTTTCAGCAGCACTGAGCACACCATTTAAGCAGGAAGGTAGCTGCCAGTTGGGACAGAAGGATGCTAAACAATCCTCATTTGTGCTGTGGGTCATAATAGTTGCCTTGCAACATAAAGAGGGGTGGGCTAAAGCAGGCATGGCTTTGCTTTTAAAAGAATCTGCTGCCCGGACATTTTGGATTCAAAGAGCTTAGGAATGGGGTGGGGCAAATTGGTAGTTCTGCTGGCCCTTGTCTAGTTCCTATCTCCAGGACTGAAAGGCCCAAGCCTCTCTAACTGACCCATGCCAGTGTTTCACAGGCTGCATGACTGTTTGGGGCAAACTCGTGGAAAGGGCAAGGCGATGCACGTGTATGTCTATTTCTTGCCATCAGCTGATGCATGGGGCCAGGAGAGAATGACTGTGGCTCTTACACTGTTTCCAACACTATTGATTCTCATTGGGCTGATGGGAAAGTCACTTTTTTACTTTGTCCAGAGGCTGGTAATCATTGGGAGGGGTGGGGACTGTCTAGTTCCTCTTCATTTTGGGGGATGGGTGGGTGTGGCTGGCACTGGCGGTTAAAACTGCACAAAGATCTGATGGGAGGTTGTAGGGAACAGGACCTATATTTCTGCCCCCACGTGGTACGGACTCTGAGGAAGAAGGGAAAGGTTTCCCCTGACACGTGAGGAGGCAGGAATGGTTGCTGGGAGCTGAGCTGCAGGATTCCTAATATGTCTGCCATAACTGGATCTGGCAGTGAAGGAGTTGAATGATTTACTCAGACAGGGGAGCAATGGGCTCTGGGGTTAATTCAGCACACAAGGCTCCTGGCAGGCACTGCTGGGGCTCCAGCCTTACTCACAGTGTCTCCCTTCCATGTCCCACTGGGAACTTGAGAGGGAAGGAGGAAACTCATGTTGTACCTTGCTTGCTCCACCCTTCACAGGCTCACAGCATCCCAGTGGCTAATACCCTGCCCCTGATCCTCTCAGCAATGAGATACCCAGGAGTGATCCTTTTCAACAGTGAGATGCCCAGGAGTGACACAACCTGTCCACCTTCCCAGGAAGAAGCACATGAACTTGGTGCCTTCCTGTACATTCCTGCCCCAAACCGCCTTTTTCCCCCTGTTCCCGGCACTGGCATGGTACTAGCTGGATACGAAGAACCACAAGCCAAAAAGGAGTGGAGCAGCCCTTATCCTGGGAGTGTCCTTGGCTCCCTTCTCTGAGCCCCCAGGGCGCTTCTCTTTCCCACCCAGTTTCACAATCTCCACTCCCTTGTGCCATGTGTTTTGCTACCAGCTTGGAAGGAATGAGCCAGACTGTGCTGAGACTGAGCAACTTTTGTCTGCACAATGCACATGGTTACAGGGGATCACTGCAGAGTGGTGCAGCATGCTCCCTTCTCTGCCCTCGCAGGGAGGGATCGTAGTGTTTTTTGGCACTCCCAACTCCTGATGGCCCAGGGAAAAACCCTGGGAAAGGAGCCTGAGACTTCTACACAGTAATGCATATATCTAACCCTAGGGCAGTGAACTGGCTTCCTTAGCATTCCCTCTTCCCTCCACACCCCTATATGAGCTGGCTGTATGCTAGATTACCCAATTTCTATGGACAGGTTTACACATACAGTGGAAAGAGAGAGTCACAGCAACTTCATGCATTCAGCTTTTACAGAGGTATTTTGATGTTTTAGTCTTAAGGACAGAAATAGAGAGGGGGCTGCAGGTCACGATGGAAGGGGCTGTGTGGGGATCTGATGCTGCAATAATGGTAGGAAAGTAGGGCAACACTGATCTGATCTGTATATATGACATTGAGAGAGCTGCTTGTGGATTAGTTTGCACAGCCAAGGCTGCTGATATTTGAAAGCAGGGAGCCAAAACTGATACACACGCATACACACACACACAGACGTGCTCAGAATCTACCAGCACGTAATGATCGTGCTGTAGCTGACTCAAAATAGGGCCAGCAAAGCCTCTGTGGCAGACTGCCTTGAGCACGCGCTTCCTTCCTGAGGACAGAGATCATGGGATGGTGTTAAGCCACCAAAAGAATGTGTGTGCACAGGTGAGTGTGCGCAATACCTGTGTGTGCCCACCTGCATGTATCTAGGGTAGGTGGCTATGCAAGCAATGTGGAATGTGGGGAAGGCAGGACCTTGGCGCGAGGGCAGAGGGAGGGACAAACTTGCTCTGCTAGGAATCGTGCCTCACGATGGCATGAGGCCAGGCCTCAGGCATTTGTCAGGCAACCAGGACTCCATCAAGGCAAGAGTTTCCTTTGATCTACCGCACAGTTAACCTGCTCTAGACGAATAACCTGACCTCAACAGGAATGGAATATCAGGAAAGGCCCCCACTGCTCTGGTTGGCTGGCAGGGAGGTCCCACCCTTGTAGTGGTACTCTACTCTTCTCCCAGCTCTATCATGGGATCAGGTGGATGCGTTTACTGCTAGCTCTTGCACTGTGCACCTTTCCAGGTGAGCCTCCAAGGATGTCCCTCTGTAACTTGTGTGTGTGATTCGCTATGTTTTGCATTGCTTGAATAGCCATTTGCCCTAGATACGTACAGATGGGCTCACACAGGCATTGCACACATTTGCCCATGCACACTGATGACCCTGAACTTCCCCAGACCTGGCCCTGGGGACCAAGGGACCCTTGCGCAGCTGCTGAGGTGAGATTCTTCATCTCACAGGACCAGTTTAGCTCTCTGGCAAAGCTAACAAGCTCCCCAGTCTAGGTGTACAGTCTTTCAGAGCCCAGAGTCTGTGAATGTCACAGTCCAGGCATGTTGTCCTCACGGATTGAATGGCCTCAGAGACACAGGGAGAGAATAATGAGCTTTGCAGCCTCAGCACACTGACATGTTTCAGTCAAACTGATAGCATCTGCGACAAGAAAAACTTGGCACCTAAAATTCCTTCTGCGAGCAGGGAGTGGAGCTAATTTCTATTATCTGAGGCCTGCTTTTGCAACCTTGCTGCAGAGCACTGATCCATAAATGATCCTACAGCTTTCTCTCTTCCTCCTTCCCAGCTATCTAGGTCATATCTCTCCTCTCTTCATTAGTTCCACCAAAGTCGCCTAGTCTGGTAACACCTGCCTGCTCACCCTAGCAACTGCCAGAGTTTAAAATAAAGCTCCGTTTCCTACACGTATTAAGTGTCAGGAAGGACCAGCGTCTTCTGTACTGTGCAGAATTCATACAGAAGTGCATTTCTTGACAGGTGCAAACTTTAACAAAGGTCTTGTTCCATTTATCAGGTCTGATCTCAGTGCAGAGCTACGTGGACTTGCAAATATTTTCCAGTATAAACTCCTCTGCATGTGATAAAAGGGATGCAGGGATGCTGGAGGAGGGTGACAGAGCCCACCATCTCCGGGTCACTGCTTCTGATCCAGCCCCAGCTTGGTAGTTGTCAGAAGTCATCCTCCTTCAGTGGTCCTTGAATCACATGAGTTTAGGGCCATTCAGTTATGCTTCAAGTGAGTTAGAGAGTCAGATCTGAGGCCCATGGATAATAGAAAAATGGATGCCAGAGGAGGGGGATATTGCATTGCCATCGCCTAGGCTGTTTCTGCTTGCTGGATAAACAGAGGACTCAGTGTCTAAGGCTATCATTCCCAGCACTAAATTGAAGTGAAACATTACACCCTGAAAGCAGCTGTGAAAAGCATAACCTTACTAAGCGAGTGTTCACCACAGACCAGCCACATGCATCTTACTGATGACCCATAAAACACTGCATTAAAAAACCCTATGTTTCAGAAATGCATGAGCCTAATGCTCCTCTCAGTTACAGCAATTCAGCCTCTGGGATGTGTCCCAGGGCTGGGGCTGAGATGCCACCCACTGCATAGCAGCCTGATTAACCCAGCTGAAAGAGCAACTTTTCCACACATGAGTAAACTTGAATAAAGACAGCTTGGAGCTAAGCAAACAGGTGGCTAGTACTTTTCTCTGTTTCTTTTCCTATTATTGCAAGATTGTCTTTTACTAAGGGCTTGCTCTCCTGCACCTCTCCTTTGTGCAGTCACAGGATAACGCCAGACCTGGTGTGAGTGGATGAGATTTCATTGAGATCAATGGAGCTGTATTCATCCACAGCCAGTCTGAATTTGATCTGTAATTTAGGGTTCATAACATCAGTATTCAAAGTCTCTGGTATTGGTATCCGATACTTATGATACAGTCTTGTGTATTCATCAGAATAATTTGTTTATGACATCACAACTCCATGCCTATGACATGATGTGGAATTTGCAACTTCTATTTCAAGTAGAAATAGGAAGTTGGGCTGAAAAGGAAGAATCAATTTTTCTTTCCTCTGTGTTTCTTTTTTAACAATACACAAATTGCATATGTAATTGGCCAATATGATTTAAAAATAACACACCCGCAGACCATCTGATAGCTCCTGTGAGTGAGTTTCATAACAGAGAGGAATATTGGGAAAGTTTCCTCTGACAGCAGAAGGAGATCTTTTAAAATGCCGGTACTGCATGTACCAGGGCTGCCGGCCACCTGGGGAAGCCATATAATCTCTGTCTTTATAGTGAAACTTTTCTGACTTGTTTGCAAAGTATGTAGGGTTTCCTGGGGTGTAATCCTACAGCTCAGCAGTTCTCATACTTTTTCATTCTGTAGGCCAGTCTGCATGCATGTATGTCTGCTTGTGTGAGGGAGAAACAAGGAGAGTTTGTCTCAGACTATCCTACCTCTTGGATTTCAAGTCCCACACTTTCACAGTAGCATTTCTCTCTCTCACACAGGCTCCCTCCCACCTTCCCCTTCACCCTTATAACTAGAGCTGTTTGTACAGCACTAGCAGGTTGGACCTGTATAACCCTTGTTTCCTGTTTTATGTGTTGTCTGATAGGGGGACCCCATTCCTGAAGAACTTTACAAGATGCTGAGTGACAGGTCGGTGCGTACCATCAGCGACCTCCAACATGCCCTGCAGATAGACTCCGTAGGTAAATCTCCTCTACACCAAACACTCCTTTTGCGACACCCACAATGTGGGGGTATGCCTTCTTTTTCTGGCATAAACAATAGAAAGGCTCCAAGTGTGGGAAACTTTTAATCTCCAGGTGCTTGATCTATTGAAGTGCGCTGCAAAATTAATTCATAATAGGTCTGGGGAAGTTTAAATAGACCTGGGCAAGGAACGTGGTGCTGGAGAACGACCCAGATAAGCTCCCAAGCTAAGAGACACACAGAGAGGTGGTTCAACTGCAACAGGCTTAGATTAGGAAATGGAGAAGCAGTTGAGAAAATGAGTAGTACATGGATGGATGCAAAGAGGAGCAGGTGAATGAAGGAAGTGGCTCATGGTGAGATGTGCAAGCAGATGGACAGGCTAGTCCACAGGTAAAAAGATGCCCAAGGGAGTGGATGGGAGGTGACCAGGTGAGTAGCTAGGATTTGTCTATGAGGTAATGGGCTTATGGGCTTGGGCTTGAGTGACCTGGTCCGTAGGTACAGTATATAAGGTGGGAACAGGCAGGTGCTTGCACCAGTTCAGAGACAGCCTCTTTTCAGGGTCCACAGAAAGGGGAGGAAGAATGCTAGGTTGTCAGGGGCACCAAGGTGCCAGTGGTTGATGGCCCTTCTTTATCACATGCCCTGGGCCAAGGCCTGGACGTGGTGGTGCCTGGGGGACACTCAGCCAGGGCCGGAGTCACCCTGCACTAGCAGAAGAGAGTAGAGAGACCGGCACGTGTGGGAATGGGAGCACGTGCCACCGCCGCCGGGCTAGGTCAGGAATTTATTTATAAACGGTCTCTTCAGAGTGAATTCCATTCTATTCTAACCTCTGCTCCGCCCGTCCTCCCCCCGCCCCCCCTCGCCTTCTTTCTCGTGTTTTGTCTGTTTGTAGCTTTGTAATCCTTGCCGAGACACTATCTACGGGGGAACAGAATTTCCTGCTTTTGTTTCCTATGCCAGTCGCACCACTGGCGTGTTCTCAAAAGCATTCCCGCTCCCTTTCAAAATGGGCTGGGAGGTGGTGGGGGGGGCGCGAAAGGGAGGGCACCAGCTGTGTTCTGCTATTGTTTCCCTTAGAAAGAGGCGACGAGGTCCCCCCCAGTTCTCCTCTGAGTCCACGAGCCACACAATGGTGAGGCTTCCAAAATTAGCCGTGCTGGCTTTTCCAAGGCTGGGTCCCCTATCCCAGTCAGCAAAAGTTGAATTGGCCTATCAAGGAGAAGGACACCCTGGAGGGAGAAGCGGGGGGAGGAGGGGGACAAGAAGGGGGAAACTCACTTTTCAATAGAAGATTTGTTTCAAGTCAACAGTGTTGCTATTTCTTTTTTTCTCATCAACTTAACCTTTACGCAAAAAGCAGCCCCCACCCTGGCCTGATAACATTCCAGAGCGTGCGGCATGGCGGGGTGGGGGCAGAGGGACAGAAAAGACACGCGCAGCCTGTCATGCCACGAAGTGTAAGGAAGAGGCACAGCTCTATCCCAGTGGCTACAGGCTCTTCTGGCAAAGTGAAACGGGATTCTCTCCAGGGACTGGGCTGGCTCGGGGGCAGGCTATGGAGCCTGCCAAAGCCAGGTCACTGGTTTGATCCCAGTTAGGAAAAACTGGATAATACAGGGAATCCTGTAAGTCTACAAGCTGATCCCCAGTAAGCAGTGAGCCACTGTTTTCAGTATTCATGTGCCTGGTGACATTAGCTTGATTGAGGTGCCATTAGAGCAGTGGCCAGATGGTCACCACTGGTGCCCTCTTTGACTGTCCCCACAGAGTGGCTACGAGCTGAATAGGGACCAAATCTCCCCTCTTGCCCTTCTACAATGACTTTTTCAGGGGCCACAGAAAGGATCCTGGAGGGGGTGTGATGGGCCTGTCTTGCTTTGCTGTTGCATCTGTCACTTCAGTCAATCTTGCACTTTCACTGGCCCTGAACTCCCTTTAATAAAATAGCTCCCTTGATGCTGACGTCCATTCTGCTTCCTACTGCAGCTAAACCGGGTCACAGAAGGAAAGGGCTGCAGCTGGGCGGGAGCTGTCTCTGAGCACAGCCATTGTCCAGGGCTCAGGAGAGGCTGCGGACCCGTGTGCTCCATGGGATTATGGGAATGTCTCTGTTCAGGCACTTCCTGTGGGAAAAGCAGCAGGGTGGGGGTGCAAGGAGCTAAGCTAAGTGCTATCAGCCCTCCTCTCCCATCATCTGCCAAACTGTCCCCAGTGCCCTGTGGTTTAACTTACAGTAGCAGAAGGGAAGAGTTATTTTTAACTCAGTTTCTTTTTCTGTTCTCCTGCCAAAAAGTTGACTGTGGCTCAGATTGAGGCTAGTGAGGTGGGAGTGAGAAAGCAAACCACCGGCTGCAACTCACTCCAAGCACCAGGGCCCTGCGGCCCTGGACAGACATCTACCTCTGTCTATGGGCCTCAGTCCAGACCTGCAATCCTTCCTGCGGGTCCATGACATCAGCTGATTCACCCAGAGCCTTCCTCACAACATCCCTCCACTCCTGCAGCCCTATTCCAAACAGCTCTCTGCTAAAGCCCATCTCTTAACCCAGGTTAGCTTCTGATTCTCCAGGCCCCATCTCTCTTTAACAAGATGGGCCTGTTGTTTTGAATGGCTTGGAATGAAGTTATGAATAAAGTTAGAGCCTCCTGCCCTTGTTGCACTTGTGACTGGAGCTGGGGGTTGACCCTTAACTTCCAGGTGTGATGTGCTAGTAGACTGAATGGACCAATGAATTGTCTGACTCCTCTGCCCCTGTGCTAGTGGGTCCCTGAGCCACTGCTTCCCCTTTTATCTCTACCTTGCATTACTTGGCTTTGTCTTTCTCTTGCAGAACAGGAGGATGGTCCTAGCTTGGACCTGAACTCAACCCAAACCCACCTTGGTCATGACCCTGTTCCCCTGTCCCGAGGGAGACGAAGTGTGGGTGAGTGTAACTTCTGTGCAGGAGTTTCCAGCATGAGTCAGAGATAATCTGCACAATACACATCATAGGGGCGGATGTTTGTGGGCTTATTTTTTCTTGACCATGACAGAATGCCTGTGAGGCTAGATGCATGTACACTGAGTTTAGCAAATGTAGGGTCCTTTGGTGCAGCTAGACTGGTGCAAGTGAGAGGGCAGACAGCAGGGAGCAGGCATTTGCAGCCTGCTTCCTAATGCCCTCCTTTGTTTCCGACCTCGTGACCCAGTGCTGGAAATGCCCAAGCCCTTTTTTCATGACTGCAAGAAAGCAGGCACTGGATTTGCCAGTGTAGATGTAGCCTTATGTCTAACTCTGTGTCTCTGATGGGTGTGACATTGTCCTAAACACAATGAGAGGTGGTTCTGCCTTGTCAAATCTTCAGATTGGCTGAAATCCTTCAACAGAATAGAAGGAAAATGGACCTGGGCTGGTGTCCTCACAATTGGCCTTTTGCACTTTGGGATTCCCAGAGCTGTCCTCTGGCTCCATCTGGGTCCAGCAGGGCCTGGGAGTGCTGTGGAGGCAGGGTCTTCAGCCTCAGGAATGGAGGAGGAGATAGAAGCATCACACATCATTCTGTAGGCCTGGCTCATAAAGCAGTGACATCAGCTATCTCCAGAGAAGTGCCTGGTCCCATCCTTTCTAAGCCAAGATGTTAGCTGAAGAAAGCATTACTTGTTGTGTACTCTCAGCATGCTTGACTCTATATTATCCACAGAGGGAAATAGTGCAGGGCACTCAATGGGTGGATGGTGGGAAAAAAATAAACATCTCTGTAGCTGCAGGACAGCGTAAGCCTTTCTCTTACCACCTAGAGGGGCTGCACTGGGTCTCTGATTGCTACAAAGCCTATTTCATTGTTTTTCACTTGGGTTGCTCTAGATGCCCTAGCCACTGCTGAGCCAGCTGTCCTTGCTGAGTGCAAGACGCGGACAGCGGTCTTTGAGATCTCCCGGAGCATGGTGGATTCCACCAATGCCAACTTTGTGGTGTGGCCACCCTGTGTGGAGGTGCAGCGGTGCTCGGGGTGCTGCAACAACCGCAATGTGCAGTGTCGCCCCACGCGGGTCCGTGTGCGACACATCCAGGTACGTCCCAAGCCCTCTGCCTGCTCCCTTATCTTGGCTTGTTCTTCTACTAAATACACTGCCCATCTAAGGGGACTGCCTGTTACCATGAAAATGCATTGTCCATGGTGCTGGCCTCACCATCCCTCACTCAGCTTGTGTCTCAGTCCTGACACACGCACTGAAACAGCCCCTCCTCTCATAGGCCCTCTGTGATCCTCCTCTCCGGTCCTGCTACAGTCACGTACTGGCTGACCTCTTGCTCTAATCCTGCTAGCTTTTCAGTTCATAGCAAGCTCCTCCATGCTTCCTCCCCAGACAGCTAGTTTAAAAATATAATCACTCCCATGCAAATCCTCTGCCTGGTGTGTGAGGACCTCCCCCAGGCCCCAGGCAGGCAGCAGGTGGGGGGGCAGAAGGGGGGGGCACTCATACAGTCAGCTGTAGCAGGAAATGCCTTTCTCAGGAAAGCCTCACTGAATAAGAGATATGAGAGAGTGGAGGCAAAAGTGGGACTTGTTTTTTGTGGAAAAAGCAAATAGGAGGTCAGTTGTCAGCCAGAAAAAGTGACCTGGAAATGGTTCCTCTGAGGACAGAGGTCTTTGTATTGTTTGGCTGGAAATGTTTGTCTAGTGAGCAGCGTGTGGTCTGAAGCGTGTAGAGTGGGCTTTCAAAGAAAGATAAACAGTCGAGATTTGATCGGTGGTTGAGTGATGTTGCTGAGGGCAGTGGGTTTAAAGGAATTTAGTCTCAGACTTGAAGCAGCGATAGCATTTATAGCCGGTGGACAGCCCTCCACAGGCAATGTGGTCTTGTAAGATAAGCTAAGCAGCAACAGGGCTGGTCAGTACTTGAATAAGAGACCACCAAAGAAAACATAGGGACTGTACTAGGACATGATGGTAGTGATGCAAGAAGAGGCTCTTCCCTCTGAGTCAGGGCTGAAAGATGCCTCTCAGGAGTGTTGTGCTGCCAAAATGCTTTCGCATGAGAGGTAATTCTGAGGTTCCTACCATGGTTAATCATCAAAGATCCTGAGTCAAATTCAGCCATGGTGCTATCAAAGTCACTAGAGTTGCATCTGGTTGTACCAGGTCTTAAGTCCTCCTTTCTTTGTGTGAGGGAATTATCTTCCCAGAATCACATTTTAGTTCATGGCATTCTGATACCCCTACAACTTACTCTGTCAAAGCTAACAGACACAGGCTTAGTCTGAATTTCTTATCCAAGTTGCATGGTAGTTCTGTGCACTACTAACAAGTGGTCATATCCAACACTAGAAGCAGCTGTATGTTAGGTAAAATCTATGCAGTGATTTTCTGTGCACGAGGCCAAATTCAGACCTCCCTGATTTAAGTTCACAGCACACTGCTGGTATAATTGGAAGCTGTACCAAGTCTGAATTCAATACATTGCCAGTAAAGTGTTTGTGAACCCTGTAGGAAGAGGTCTAAAGACAGGTTAGACAAACATTGGTTTGGGATGATTTAGATAAGCCCAAGAGCAGGGGGTTGAACTTGATCTGTGGAGCTCAGCCCTTTAGAGCAGGAGGCCAGGTGGCTTGCAACCCAGCTACACTGCTGGCTACCACTCTTCTGGAAAGAGAGTGAGGTAGGAGGTGGCTGCCAATGTCGGCGGGGGGAGGGAAAATGGGGGCTGGGGAGGAAGAAAGGAAAAGAATGGAGCAGGGAGGGTTGTGGAGGGGGTCAACAGCATGGTGAAGTTCAAGGAAGGAGATACATTGGGCTTTCCATTGATCCCCCATGCTACAGACCAGATTCAGTCACTTTAAGGATGGATCTGGCCCATAAGCCCTAGGTTGAGCACCACTGGACTAGATCATCTCCTGCGGTCCCTTCCAGCCCTGTTTTCCTCTGATGCTAAGAATGTCAATAGAAATGCAAGTTATTACTCATACGTACGGAGTGCATGAGTTTCTTTGTATTCTCTCCCAATAGGTAAACAAGATTGAATTTGTCCAGAAGAAGCCAAACTTTAAAAAAGTCATTGTGCCATTGGAGGACCATGTGGACTGTCGCTGTGAGGCACTGTCATCTCGGCCCTCCAGTCACAGTTGGCCCAATCTACGTGAATACAAACGTAAGGGGGGAATGAAGAGAGGCTAGGAAGAGGGGGGGCCCTCAGCTCCAATGAGCTGACTCAGATCAACTGAAAGCCTTGGTCAGAGCATGTGCCTACGTGTTATGGGCAAAAATGGAGGGAAGTGAAAGAGTGGCCAGAGGAGAGAAACATACAGAGAGGGTGGGGAAAAGAAAACACTGGGGAAGAGGGAAAGAACAGAGGGATGGGGCTGTGGAGGAGTGAGAAAATCTAGTGAAGAGAAGGAAGAACAGAGAGGAAAGAGGGTCTTCAATTCTCCCATGGTAAAGCTAGCTATTGATGATGGCCGGGGGGAAAAGTATTTCCAACAGACACAGCTGCCACTCATGGCCTGTCCACTCTGACCTCTGATTTGGCAGATGGGTTATTGACAATCACTACAGCTCCTGTGTCAGCAAGGCAACGAGCACGCCGGCTGCAAGCACAAAAGAGGAAACATCGGAAGTTCAAGCATGTCCCTGATAAGAAAGTGCTGAAAGAAATCCTCACAGCATAGAGGTGCTGGCAGGGGAGAGAGTGCAAAGCAGGTGAGAGCAACAGCTATTGCCAGTGAAAGCTTGCAAGGTGTTCCCAGACAGTGGCGAAGTGTAGGGGGTTCACAGGGGTGCACATGCACCCTTAAGAGCACCGGTGCACCCCCTGACCGGCTGTACTCGCTGCTTAGGTGATGGGCAAGTGGGAAGAGGTGGGAGCGCCGGTGGCCCCTCCCCACCCCCCCACGGAAGCCAATTGTTGAAGCCACTTCTGGGACCGGCTGCAGTGATTGGCTGGCGCTTGCTCCCAGAAGTGGACGCAGCCACTCCCAGAAGTGGCTGCAGCGATCACAGTGATCAGCCATTGTGGGATTTCCCACAGGGGACCTCCGGCCCCCCTCCCTACCCAGTTGGCAGAATCGCCCACAGGGGGACCCCGCATCGCCCATGATCACAGTGGCTTTTTCTTGTTGTGGAAAACTCCCCTGTGCGCATGTACCCACACACACACACACACACACCCACACCCACCCACACACACACACACACA